TACAACTTGCATGATTCCAAGTTTCGGTCCAATTGAACCTTGGGTGATGAGAATCTTTCCTTATTTGGTAATATTAGACACTACCACAACCGAAAGAATCAAATCCATTTTTCCAATATTGCTATCAATGGAATCTTATAAGCAACAACTTTTCACAAATGCCATTGTAAGGATACTTAAAATAAATAAAATCAAAACCTTTTTCTTTTATTTTAAAACTTTGCGGAAAAACTTATCCTTACAATCCATATGAAAACCTTGTTGTTATCTATTCCTAAGCAATATAAATATCATAACTCTTAAGTAATAGCCCAAAATTCTGATCACCGAACCATGCGATTGAAATCCATCTTCGCGATCAGAATCAGCATGTACTTAATAGAGTTAGACAATGGACTTTACCTGAAGTAGAGCCAAACTTATTGACTTTAACATCCTTAGGTAAATTTGGCAGCTTCGTAACCAATGCCCCTTCCTTTGGCAATAGTTACCTATGGACCCTTGATAATGGGACTATCTCAGACTTCGCCTCTCTCTTTACCATTGGGTCAACCGAGTTGACTATGGCCGATCCCTTTCCATTGGGAAGAGAGAGCTTTACTGGATATCCAATGTCATCATTGTCAATGTCCATAGCGTTTTAGGAAGTTGATCTTAGCAAATAGATAAGATCATTAAGGGTCTTGTCTTAGTCTGTTTCATAGGATTCCCAAAAGAACTCACTATGTGACTTAGAAAGTAGTTGAGCCACCAACTTTCTCAAGACTTTGACACCCAACTCTCCCGGCTTGTCAATATGTGACTACATCTCCAAGATGTGATCACACCTAGACCTTGCCTTGCCAATAGGGCTTGAGTGACCTTAAACTTTTTAGGAACTTGTGGGTTAGGGAGAATAATTGGAGGAGGTGAAAGAAGTATGATATCCATGGGACATCATCTTCATTTAGGAAAGCTTGTTTCAAGAGATTTGGGAAGATCATAAATGTCTAGACCAGACATCTTTTTGGGAGATATTCAAGATAGTTGATTTAAAGTCCTTAATATGACACCCAATATGAAATATTAAGGCTAGGACCCAACAAACTATTTTATAACTTAGAAGAGGGATGCCGTAATCCAAGCTATAAAATATTTGAAGGTAGGTGAATGACGATTCACCAATTTCCACCATGAAAAACGAAATAATTTATTAGGTTTTAATTGGATTTGAAAGTCCTAGATCTTTGAGATTCATTGAACTGTTCAAAGGCATGTTTCAATCTCGAGTGTGCCCTTCAGGTTTTGTGACTGGGATGCCGAGGATCACAAAACAAGGTGTGAATAACCATGCAAATATACTTGGTACCCTTAATATTTACCCCTTAATCAGTGTGCCGGTTAACCACACACGCTCCACCGATACTATGATAAATATTAAGTTACCCTTTGCCTACCTTGTTAAGTCCAGGTTAGTGTGCCGGTTAACCACACACGCTCCACTAACGACTTAAGCAAAGTGTAATTTCATGGGTTAGCACCAAATTCACATTTTCCTAAGTAACTAAGATTGGGTATTAATAAGAGTTTAGTTACTTAGTATTTATCATTAATACTTTTAATGAAAGGAGAATTATAGTCCTTGTCCTACCCGTTCGGCTAACGACCCTCCACCAGTCAAGGAAGCGGTGGGTGAGAGTGGACACCCATTAAACTGCCATTTTATAGGCAGTAACCTTATACCCCCTTATAGACCGGCTTCGTGAATGAGGCCTACTAACGGTAAGACTGACTTTACTCTTATACATATATATAAATATTATTAACTTATAATATTATAAAGTATAAGGGTTGAATTTTAACTTTTAAAATTCTAAGGGCTAACTTGGAATTAAAGTATTCATAAGTGAAAACTTTTCAAATTCCAAAACTTGAGGGCAAGTTTTGAAACTATTCAAAACTAATTAATTCCATAACTTATGAGTTTAAAGTAGTTTTAATTAAAAAAAAAAAAAAAAAACTCTTCAAGTTCCATAACTTGAGGACAAGTTATGGAAGACTTTAAACTAATTAATAAAAAAAATAACTTTTTTTTATTGTAACTTATGGAACTAATTAAGGTTACACTTTTTTTTTAATTTAATGAAGAGACTCTTGAACCTCCATAACTTGAGGACAAGTTATGGAGTCATAAAACCATTTAATTAGAACTAGACTCTTCATTTTGTAACCTTTGCCAACTTTTATGAGTTTTATGATTCTTAAATGTGACTTTTCATATAACTTGAGGACAAGTTACAAAAACACACTTTGGAATCAACTCTTAGATTACAATGGATTGAAAACAACTATTTCACACAACTTTTCTTTAATCTAAGAACCTCATAAGAACAAGATAATTCAAATCATCAATCTTCAAGAAATTAGCATGAACATACAAACTAATACAAATCTTGAAATTATGACAATTATCTTAGAAATTGGATTAGCATGAACATTACCACATCAAAAACAAGTTTATAAGTCCAAAAACATCTTAGGGTAATGTTCCTAGTCCAATTCCAGCCAAAACAATCGAATATATGCATCCAACTCGATTTTTCAGCTACTTTTGCAAGTATAACAAGAAAACAAGCCTAGGCTCTGATACCACTGTTGGGTTATGAGCATTCTAACACTCCTAAGTGTACATGCAACCCTAAATACCTTGGATCTATGTTTTCTCTATTATACATACAATTATGAACATCCAAGGTATTATCCTAATCTAGCATACAAAATAATAAATATAACAAGATAGAATACATACCTCTTTGATGTAGAATGTCTTCATGAAGCTTGAGTGCCTAGTGCCCCAAGTGTGACACCTCAAATGGTTCACACAACACCAAATACACTTGGAATAACTTGAGAGAAACTTGAACACTCCTTGAAATCGTCTAGCCCTCACACTCACACATTAGTGCACGATTTCTTGAGCCATGGGATTCTTTTATATGGTGGCTATTAGGGTTACACCATGTAACTCATAACTTTACCCATTCCTTATGCTCCATGGATTTTAACCTCCATGGAGTATCCATGGGTCACCCCATGGACTTAGTCCAACATAAGGAATCTTGGATCACAAGCCCACATATATAAGAATGAATGATTTACACAATCAACCCATATATTTAATTAGTCTCCTTTTGATCACTTAATTAATTCCAAATTAATTCTTGATCAATACTAATTAAATAACCTTATTAATATATTAGAACTTATAATATATTAACCAACCTTAAGTGTTATTTCTCTCATTATAGTCTATCCAAATGCATGATGCCATGCAACCCAAATGGACCATGCCGGGTCGGGTCAAGTCTTACCAATTATAGTTATGGACTTAGACATTAATCCAACAATATGTTCATGGTTATGTTATGTTCAGTTTATTCCAGACTTTGGTCCGATGCCGGGCGGGGCCCGATGCAGTGGGCGGGGCCCAAGTTATTCCGGACTTCGGTCCGATGCCGGGCGGGGCCCAATTTATGTCGGACTCCGGTCCGATGCCGGACGGGGCCCAATGCAGTGGGCAAGGCCTAGTATTTGTTATATGTATGGTATGTGTTATTGGGGGAGTAACTTCGTGCTTACAGTTTCAGTTTTGGTTTCAGGTACTTCAGCTAGCAAGGGAAATGGCTCGGATGATGGCATGGCACACACCACAGTTTTCTTAGCCGGGAGTTGACGCTGATGGTTTATATGAGATTGTGGTATGATGACAGATTTGAGAGATTTTGGAGATGACATGGTTTATGAGGTCTTTACTATGGCGATGATATGCATGGGTTGTTAAAGGAATTTGGAAAACAAATTTTTTAGGGGGTACTTTTGGGATGTTTCACCCAACTAGTAAGGGCTAGGTGGGGTTGATAGGTCTTGAAAAACACATACAACCGAGCCACGTTAAGCGTTATACAGTCTAACCCCTAACTTAGCTGGGCCTAAACTGGGTTTGCCCCAAGACTTAACCATCTCCTCATACACAAAGACCAGACAACCCAATTTCATGTCACATCAATGGGTCTTATAACTACTTACACTTAACATAACGAACCCAATATTACAGAATGGGTAAGAAACTTTGGTTTTTGTCCATCTTTAGGTAACCATGTTTTTTTCGTATACATTTGACCAATAAACTTGTTTGACCTGTTCATTATAGGGTAATGTTACCGCTAATTACCAATCATATTACCTTATTTTGAACAGGTTAAACGAGTTTAACAGTGAAATGGGTACGAAAAAAACATGGTTACCTTAATGTGGACAAAGACCAAAGTTTACGAAAAAAACATGGTTACCTTAATGTGGACAAAGACCAAAGTTTGTTACCTTTCTAGTTCATTAATCCTTTTCATTTTATAGCATTAACCTTATTAAAAATAGTCAAATTTTTATTTAACGGCTAAATAGTCCTTTTATATGTAGTTTTTTTTTGGAAACGACAAATGATTAAACGGAAGCCTACTCGCATATTTCAACGAGCACCCCGGGTTCGGGTTCGAGCTCCTTTACAGGGAAAACCCCAGCCCCCATAGGGGTTTCCAGGGAAAATTCCCCACATGTGACACAAGTTTAAGAGGCACCCAAATTGGGTTTTGCAGGGATTGAACTCCCGACCTCTAACCCCACGTGGGTATTAAACCCAGTACCTCTTCCCAGCTTGGAAGTCAAGAAACCAAATGTCAATGAAACTCTTACAAAAATTATTTTTTTAAGAATAAAATAAATTATTTTAGATAGAAAGAAGGGAATACCACAAAGATTTTCTGCAGTTTAAATGATAATTTAAAATAAAAATTCTAAAGACAAAAAATATTAATATAATATTAAATAAATACAATATTCAAAACTTTATAGACAATGGATGCAGTGAGTTCTTGCATAAAGCAGACGACTGTGAAATTGCCGGTAGCCTTTGTCCTGCTTTCTCTCCGAAATCTTTAGATCTACAAGCTTGATTTTCGATCATCATGAATCAGGTGGTGGTGGTGCCATATCCAGGAAGAGGCCACATAAACCCTCTCTTGAACTTCTGTCACTTGCTATCTTCTCGATTGAACCAACCTAATCGCACCACCGTCTTCACCATCGTCGTCACAGAGGAGTGGCTGGGAATTATCGATCCAGACCGGAAGCAAGCTAACAGTAACATTCTGTTCGCTGCTATCCCTAACGTCCTCCCTTCAGAGCTCAATCGTGGCTCCAACATGATCACATTCCTCACTGCTGTTAGAACCAAAATGCAACCTCCTTTTGAGGAGGTGCTTGATCAGATGAAGCTTCCGGTGACACTCATCATTGCGGATGTGACTATGTTCTGGCCGTTTGAAGTCGCTAACAGGAGGAACATTCCGGTAGCAGCATATTGGCCGATGTCCGCCTCCCATGTTTTCCCTGATGCACCACATCGATCTTCTTGAATCGCACAATCACCTTTACATCGACGAATCAGGTGCGATTTCTCACTTCCAGCTCCATCTGAATTGCTAGTTGTTTCAATGTCTGAATCCAAATCATTTTCAAGTTTAGATGCTTTAGCTAAATTTCATCGGGAAATTAACAGAGATACTCATGTGAGAAATCAAATTTGAATGTACAGAGAGAGGACATGAACACATCGACTACATTCCCGGAATACCTTCATTGACAATAGCAGATATTCCGATGGTATTTCACGCTAAATACGGCGAAATGTTCAAGGGTTTGATCCCGAATCCTCTCGAGGTAACAAAAAAAGCAAATTACGTCTTATTATCCACCATTTACGAGTTAGAACCCAAAGTCATCGATGCCCTCCGTTCCAAAATACAAATACCCATCTACACATGTGGATTAAACATACCTTACTCCCAAATCGAACCCAATCTTGAATCATATGGCTATGGCCTCATAAACTGGTTAGACTCTAAGCCTCTAGGTTCCGTCTTGTATGTTTCTTTTGGTAGTTATTTACCAGTGTCGAGTGCTGAAATGGGTGAAATCGCCGCCGGTTTAGCACAAAGCGGTGTTTATTTTTTGTGGGTTGCGAGAGGAGAAACGTCGTGTTTGAAAGAAATGTGTGGTGAAAAGGGGATGATGGTGGATTGGTGTGACCAATTAAGGGTTTTGTTACATTCTTCGATTGGAGGGGTTTTGGAGTCATTGTGGGTGGAACTCGGTGAAAGAGAGTATGTTTTCAGGTGTGCCGATGTTGACTTTTCCTATTTTGCTTGATCAACCACTTAATAGTAAAGCCATTGTTGAAAATTGGAAGATTGGATGGAATATTAGGAAGGAAATGAGGGGTATTGAGAGAGATAAGATAGCAGAAGTTGTGAGGAAGTTTATGGATTCTAAGAGTGTCCAGAGGTTAGGGATGATGGAGCGAGTGAAGAAAGTTCAAGAAATTTGTCAAGAAAGTGGATCAAGTGAGGAAGATCTCAAGGCGTTTGTTAACGACATGGTAACGAATCAAAAATCTCAATGTATTTGTTAAATGCCAATATTTCTAAGGTTATTTATAATGACGAAGTATTCACTTTTTTTTGTATGAACAAGTGATCGAAAATGTGTATATTTCTTAAGTACGGCAAAATGGATGAAATTGTCTCTCTATGAGATAAAATTAAATTATAAAACTCCTTCTAATAGTGAAATTATAGAAATGGTCCATATATAATTTACAATTATAGTAATGTCCCCTGTTTAAGACAAAGGTATGGAATTGATTCATGCTTAATGGTGTTGAAATTATAGGATTAATAAATTTGCCGCAACTCGTGAGACATCACATTATTTTTAAACATTAGCGAGGATAAATAAATTATAAAGCGATTTCGGTACCAGCTCCAAATCCGATATTTTCAGTTATACTGGCTTTGATCCGGGTTCCAACTTTTCAAGAACCATCAACTTTATTTCCAGCTAATTTTGTGAATAATTGAGAATATTTTTCCAAATACAATGTTCTTGTAATAAAAAAATGAAAATAGAATACTACAATAACCAAATAAATGAAATCCGATATGTAAGTGCATGCCTATAGATAGGGAAATGGTGTGCTATGTACCATAACATTGTACATACCATCAACATAAAACACATACTTACCATCCACTCCAAGTTTGTCAAATAACTGAAAACCTAAAGAGAATATTGCCTCTTTCATCAAACCGCAAAAAGAGCAAAAATGGCCGGGGTCGGTTTAAACTCCCAAACACCCACTGTTTGAATATTATTATTTTAACAGGTGTATTATTCATATAATTACATACTCGAGCAAGTAACTAGAATATAGAAATCACTAACTACAATGGGTTTATGAGCCAAACATTCCAAACCACATCAAAATTAGAAGCTCAATTATTCAACCAACCAAGAAAAAAAAATTAAACTATAATATCAAAAATTAAATTAAAAATATACTATCAAAAACTGAATTCTTTTTAATTTGACCACCATAAAAAAACCATTAAGTTTTGGAATCTCCAAAACATCTTAACACAAGGCCAGAACAATATCATACCGTGAAAATTATCTAAAATTTTTGTTACCATAATAATAATATAATATTGTGAATAAATATAAATTATGTATATTATGTAAATATGCACATTTATCCCTACCGACCCAAAATTTTAACTTGTTTTTCTCCTATTTTGCCTGTTAAAGGATGATATATATTAAATCATGTCATTCGTTAATAATGGAAAAAAAAAATCGTCAAATTTTGTAAGACTTTTTGGCGATTAAAACAAAATAAATATTTTATCAATAATTCAAAAAAAGAAAACACTCATCCACCATGAGACTCGCTCCACACCAACTTTCATGGCCTCTACTTCATTTCTGTTTTGATTTAACCTTTTCTCTTTCACAATCAATCGTCTCTTTTGTTCCTTTCAATCCTATTAAACAATGTTTCAGATCTCTCTCTCGCTGTGATCTTGCATGTTTCTCATCGATCTTGACATCTACGTATTCAATTGTTTGAGTTCATAATGATCCAATTGTGAAATCTGATAAAAAAAAACGGTGCTAAAATAGTGAATTGTGGCCGCTTTTCGAATTCATTTGAGATCGAGACAAATTGTCGCCGGAGATACGAAGGCTATAATTAGTTTGTGTAGCCATGGAAGACAAAGAAACAGCTTCAGATCGGATACAAAATCGGAATATTGTGGATATGCTTCGAGACGATAAAGCTTCCGGATCGAAGAAGAACTGGAAGGCGTTTCGAGACACGCTCCGCCTCAAGCGCGCCGGTAGAGCGTGGACCTCCACCGTCCCTATCCCCGCCTCTGATCTCCCGATCAACACCAACAGTAGTACTAACCGTATGATGATCCGACGTGGTTCTTCAAGGTATCCAAGCGACCCGAACGTCGACGAACTGGACGGCGAGGCAACTCGGCAGTTAGGGTATACGCCGGACAGGCAACGCAGCGGCCGGTTACTCCCACTGGAAACCGATCCGGAGGAGGAAAACGATAATAAGCCCCCGGACGGCGGCGAGACAGAGCCTGAACAACAGATGTCGTTGATGTCGTTGCTCTCAGATCACGGGTCTCATTACAATGCAGGTCCAGATGAACACGTTGAAGAACATCACGAAGAACCAGAACCAGAGGAAGAAAAGAAAGAAGAAGAAGAAGAAGAAGAAGAAGAGATCGGAGACCACAATATATGCGGCAGTTGCAAAGGAAAGCATAAGAACACAGCATTTGGTCCCTGTGGTCATACATTTTGCAAGAACTGTACAAAGGAGCTTCATGTCTCCATAGGTAATTGTCCAACCTGCAGTAATTATATGTTGGAAATTCTTGATATCTATTAATCTTTTCTTCTACATTATTTATTAGAGTTTATCTTATTTTTTTTCGGTCGCTAATGGGAATATTATGAGGCTGGTGTTCTTGTTCATTGTACGTAAGTAATCATATTTTTATGAGATTATGAGAGTCAAAATTTAAAGCAAATCATTCGGGATGGGTCATTCATGCTTCTAGTTTTAATAATATTACTCTCGCGAATACACAAAATAATGATATAATATATGAAGCTTATGTAAACTAGTATTTATTATTTGATATTACTGATCGCTAGTTTTGAACACTTTTTTTTGTATTTTTTTTTTTCATTTGCATCAAATATTTTTCACAAAACCCTCTCTACTTATGTTTGAAATAGTTTAACATTTTGTTAGATTTTAGTAAAAGATGAATCATTTTCTGGAAATCCCTTTTGACATATCTTTTTAGTCCCTTTAACTTAAATTAGTCATTTTCATGTGTCACTTAAGCATTTTTCCATTTAAAAGTCAAAATCACATTTTCAATTTCTCAAAATCGATTTCCATTTAATTTGAGCACGTTAGCTTGTTACCCGAGAAAGTGTCAGCTTATTACCCGTGTGTGTAGTCATTGATGTCATTCCATCTATTTCAATCCACGTCATTATTGATGTTGCAAAAAGAGATGATGTGTCCACTGAAACCTGCTAAAATAGGTCTCAGTGACTAAAAGACAGGTTGCTTTCGAACTTATGCTCTTATAAAAGAACAAAATAATTTTAGAGACTGAATCGACCAACTTTAGAAATATTATAGGGCATTTGTGTCATTTTCTCTCATTTTATCTATGATTTCAAGCTTTTTTTTTTATTTACTATTTTTTGGTATTTCCACTAGGTTAATAAAAAGGATTTTTTTGTTGGTGGAAAACATATTTCAAATTTGGGCATCATCGTTGAGTATTTTGTTTTCTTTTTGGACTTAAGTAAAAACAATTGTTTTTGTTCGAAAAAGAGAATCGTATTATACGATATTACGATATATCCATTTTAATTGACTAATAATTACTTGTGTTTAAGATAACTAGTTTGAATTTTGTCTATGAAATATTTCGTTGACATAATCGAAAAGAAACCAAAAAAATATTCTTAATGGGAGTCCACGTGCATAAATAACAATGGCTAGTTTGCATAGTAAATCAATTGTATCATTTGTATTGCCAACAATTTGCAATGTTTAAAGCTTTAAAGGTATTAATAAATTTAAGAAAAAAATGATGAAAAATTTATTTTGGTGAATTTCGGTCAAATGTAAAAGCGAAAGAATAACGAGTTTATTATTTTGTTCAAAATATATTATTAAATTTTATTTTTACACACTATACCATAAATTTATTAAAATATTCAAAAAAAAAAATCATTATTACATATAATAGAAGGAAATATTGACTTTTATTTCAAAAATTGTTATAAAAAATATCATTATTACGTATCATTATTAAAATATTCAAAAAATATTATTATTACATATGTTCAAAAAAATATCATTATTACATAAATTTATTAAAATGTTCAAAAAGTATTATTATTATTACATATAGTTTGTTCGGTTTTATTTTCAAATAAAAATGAAATATTGACTTTGATATTATGCGTCGTTAAGAATATCTTAGGAAGGTAATAAACTTCTGTTTATTAAAAAAACACATTTAACTTAATAACTTTTACAAAATATCAAAAAAAAAATTGTCTTTTGACTTTTTTGCTTACATAGACAATTTTTTTCTCTCTCTCATAACAATTCATAATTAGAGCTCATGCACTTTGGAATATCCATCCATATATATCATAATATTCTTTAAAGGTTTTTTTGAATATCCATCCATATATATCATAATATTCTTTAAAGGTTTTTTTTTCTTTCGTTTCTTATTAGCAATACTAAAACTCATGTATTTTGATTTTTTAGAATAAAATGGTTAATGATTAACTAGATGTGTGTCCGCACAAAACGGCGGCGATAAATAACATTTTTGGTAAATAGTTTCTTACAGTATAACTATTAAATTTTATTATTAGTTATGATGTAATACAAAATTACCACTTTTAAATAAAATAATTATGTTTAGACCTTATGTTTACATTGCATGTTTATACTACTGATGTAAATTAATTATTATTGGTGTTTAGTTTAAGAAATGTAAATTAATTTATATACATGGATTTAATATTTTTAAAATTTTATTTTGCTCAAAATTAAATTTATTTATTACTTTCTTTAAGTAAAATCTTCAAACTTTTGGCAAGTATTAATGAATTATTTATGCATAATTGATATGTACAAAAAGCTTTGTAACTTATACTTCTTAATATTTCAAGATATCACTAATATGCTTTATAATATAGTATAAAATGTGTTTTGCTTAAACCGGTTAGCAATGATAAAGTGTGTTTTGTATATTATACGAATCGTCCATGATATGCGGGTATGTTGCTAATTTAGTCCATGTCAAATCTGAAATTACCATAATGCCCTTTATTTATTTATTTTCCAATTATTTTTGATTTATTTATTATTATTAATTATATTTAGAAAAAAATGGCCCCTCTCCTTATTCATTTATTCTCTCATTATGAACAACCAAAACCTCACCCTCACACTCCAGTATTCCGACGACCCATCAACCTTATACTCTAGTATTCTGGCGACCCATCAAACCCTCAGCCTCCAGTATTCTGTGGATTCATCAAACCCTCGCCCTTTAATATTCCAATGACGCCATCAATATCTCACCCTCCAGTATTCCAAGACTCCATCTGTGTATGAGATCGAGTTGTGTGGGTTGCCAAAAGTTAATGATAGTTGTTGCTGGATCTATGACGTTGACGTTCAAATCAACGATTTCTGACGTTCATGTAGATGGAAAAGGAGGAAGGTTTTAGGTGTTTATATCAGCTCCCACCTCCTTAATCCATGCGATGAACACCCTTCCAACATCACCAAGAAAACATCATCACAAATTTATGTTTGTGATGAGAGGGAAAGAGAAGACTAGAGGAAACAAGTGAAGGTTTATTCTTCGGCAACTTTCATTCCCAAATTTTTCATTGAGCGGCTTATATCCCTTCCCTCGTTCCCTCTTCTTCGTCCTTCCTAAATCGATTTTGATTTTGAGCTTCAGGTTAATTAGGTTTGATTTTGCTTCGATGGATTATTCTTGAAACACGCAGTTGTATTAGTTTAGTCTTTAAGCAAGTATGACCTTGACAAATCTTGAAAACTCACCATCATGGACGTCCCTCTCTCGTTAAAAAACTTTGATGGTTCATCACATGATATCAAGAAGGAATTAGGGATCGGTACATCCGAAATCTCGAAACTCAATTTTTTGTCAAGCGATTTGGCAAATCAAATAGAGTTATGGTCAGTCGGGTATATTCGTTTGCTGAAGCTCTATAAAGAAAGCGATCGCAACAGGTATGATCTTGACAAATTTGGAAAGATTACCATCATAGATGTCCCGATTGATTTTGTTTCGATGGACTCTTCGTAGGGTGGGTAATCTGTGGAGAATACAATGGCTATGGTCAAATCTTGTTGTGGATTTTAAGGGTTGGAGATGATAGTGATGATGACGGAGTTCGTGAATGTGGCGATGATGGGTTTGCGCTGGTGTCAGGAGCATGTGAGAAAAAAAGAGACGAAGGTAGAAGGAGTTGAGAAAATGGAAGGGGGGAAGGGTAGGGATATTTATTTTATTTAATTAAAAAATGTTATATAAATAAAGAAAATGAAAAAAAGAATTTATTAAGCGCAAAATAGTCATTTCATGTCAATAGGGATGAAGTTTGCAAGTTTAAACAAAATAATGACGATTCGAGTTAATTTTTGAAAATAAGCACTAAACATGTTTTTTGGCACCTGCACGAGGAACGAATCGTGTAATTTACTCTAAAGATTATATGTATCTCTCTCGCCGTCTCTCTCTCTCTCACACACACACACCCAACATGCATGACATGTATATACTAAAATAACGAAAAGTAAGCATATTCGTAAAGTTCAAACATATACAAAGAACATATACTTAACCTACAAACATATGTTCACTTATCCTTGAGCTTCTCAATGAGTGTCATCTTGTTCTCAATCATTGCTTTAAGAACCTCCACCACTTTCAATAAAGCGAATAGGTTTTATACACATTTTCCTGTCAAGTCACTTAGGTAGAGTTGTGTTAAGCACCTTTTGGCACACTAAGGAAAGGCACCAAGTTGTTCGACCATTCCTTTCTTTTGTTTGGTCAATGAACTTATTTCTTCCCATTTACTCAAAACTTATTTTCTTATTTGATTATACATCCCCAAATCTTGTTTGATTTTAAGAACAAGTTGATATTTATTAGAGTTTGATGAAGTCCTCATTGTCTAGCATGAGGAGTGTTTTTTAATCTGATTTTTCTATGGGGTTAGTTCTTATGAATACCTTTACTATTCATAATTCTTTATAAATTAAATAGAAGATCAATATCTCATTATTGTCTAGAAATAAAGAAGTCGTTTGCATGATATTGAGTAGACATTTTGGTGGCTTTTTAGTTTATGATGGTTTAAGAGTTAAATACATTCACGAGAAACATTCAAGAGAAGCATTCAAGAAAAAACATTTAGGTGGCTTTTCATGCTTTAAATGCAGTGAAGAGATGACATTTTGGTAGGTTCTCCAAGCACCTTTGCGTTTACATTTAATGTTACTTTTTGTTTATTATTTATAAGTATACATGTCGAGCTCCTCCTTACTACCCAATTTTCAAACCTTTAACCTTCCTGTCCCATTTTTTCATCATCCAACTCCAGGCAGATCCAGAAAGAAAGAAAGATCAGGGTTGCACAAAATTTGTAGGGGTTTCACTACTAGAAAAAAAAAACTCATTTCCGAAGGAAGTTTCCGTCACAAAATCGTCAATAAACTGATAAACTTGTACTAAATTCACAATTATCAGACTTTGTGATGGATTGCGAACGGATTCGTGACGGATTTTCAATTTTTTTTTTACTAAATTTACATTTTACGGGAAAATTTGAAGGGTAGCTCGTGCTACCCCGTGCTACATAGTAGCTCTGCCCCTGTCTAACTTCTCCTTCAACATGGTTTCTTTATCATCTAACTCTTCCTTTTCGGTTTGTTTAAAACTTTCACCGGAATAGTTTGCTCATTTGGAAACATGGTTTTTACCGAAGGGTTGTAAAACCGAAGGTCGGTTCGGTTTTTGGCAAATATTAATCACAGTGGGAACATCTTTTGCTAGGGGTTGATTTTAGGCTTTATCAAAAGCACATATCTCCATATCATTGTCAGCCTAAACTCAGAGTCTCAGAGATATATTATATGAACCTCAACTTCACATGGCATATAAAACTATAAAAGCAAAGAGGAGGCATGGGAATTTCACATGGACTAAATCAAGCCTCTTCCACTTTCTTTATTTTTTTTATCCTAACTAAAGCTGATCACTGGTCAACAGCCAAACTAAATCAAAGCAAGAATCCTTATTATAACTTTATTCACTCTCTTTTAGGAATTCAAAAGAATATAACACCCATTCCCATCCCAATTATCCTCTTAAATCATTTTTATTTTTTTAATCATATTAAGTAGAGAAGTTACTTGAAAAAACTAGGCAAAACATCTTACTGATCAACACTAGACTCAGACCAAAGGTGAGAAAGAAAAAGAAGTGAATTAGCTAATGGGTAAAAAGTAAAACGTGTCAATTGTTACTTTGTTAGTACCCTTCAAAAGAGATCAACTTGACGCACTAATTTGTCTTTTTTGTTCTGTTTGGTCAATTTAAATTTCAAAAATAATTAATTTACAAATGTAATTACAAAAAGTCCAAGTCCCGTTTGGAATTTTTCTTAACAAATAGTTTCGTTTGTTTTGTTTTTTTTTTTGTTTTTTTTTTCTAGTTTAACTACTGTGAGCTTGTTTTTATTTTATAAAAAAAATAACTCTAAAGTTTTTTTTTCATTAATGAGTTACAAAAACCAAACAAAATATTACTTTTTAGATTAAATATGTTTTGTCCTTAAAAAAATCAGTGTTTTCGTGGTGAAATCAGAAAGAAAATTAATCGACCAATTTTTATTTATTTTTTAATTTATAGTGGTTTTTATAAAATCATTTGTACGTTATATACAATTCAATACGTTTGGTTCAGAATTTATACCCGTTTTACTTCTTTTAGTTTAATCATATGAGCTTTTCGAGATAAAATTACCCACATATACTCATTTCTAGGTAAATATGTCAAAATTTCCACCTCGTACAAAACACAAAACAAGATTAAACATGACCAAATTAGCATTGTCAAAGTTGTTCTAAAGAGTAAAAAAAAAAATATATGGTAGAAGGATCTTCTAGACAAAAAGATCCCAATAGATTCCACTCAATTCAGGAATCCACCACCTAAAGCACCTTAATAGATGACAAATCATCTTTCTTTCTTTCTTTCTTTCTTTCTTTTTTTGTTTAATTAATTAATTTAAGCTCTCTCTACAAAAAACATAAAACGGAAGTTATTTATCCTTATCCAACAATCATCATCCTTTTGTTCTCATAATTGTAATGCTTCCTTTCCCACCTTCAGTGCGGATTTTAGTTTTTCCAACAATGGGTTTCCCTGAGAAAGCAGAAGTAGGATATGATATTACATGATCTTCTTCATAAGATTTCTTGGATTTTGATGGTGGTGGAGTCAAGATCTTTTGGTTTATGTCTTTAAGAGTAACTGCTCCTTCAACACCTCCACATGGTTTTACAAATGCAAATGGAAGAACAACCGATGAATTCATCTGTGTAGGTGTCTTAATCAATGACTTTTTCCCTATTACAACAACAACAATAACAATCAATTAATTAATATCAAGAAATAAAAAAGCAAATAGAAATTTTAATTTTCAAAACAAACCTTTGAAAATGACATTGTGACGAGTAGGAGTGCGTTCTTGAACCATATTATTACTTCCAATCTCGGGTTGTGAATTATCCGAATCTAAACAATTATATTAAACAGAAAATATTTAGAAAAAAACATGAAGAGAATCAAATCAAGTAAACGATAATGTGAATGTCACCTGTAAGATTCATCTGGATATTTGAGGTCCCAGATAAAGTCCTGTTTTTTATTAAAAACATTGGATTGAGTTTAAGCCAATCTTTTTTTTTTTTGTATATAAAGACATGACATTATATCATAAAATAAAAAAATTACATACATAGAGTCAGTTACTAGACAATCAGCCAGCCATCCATCTGAAGACTGTTCCAAACCATCATAACCAGATGCAGATGCAGACATATCATCTGAAAACACAAACCAAAAATAAAAAAAAACAATTTTATATCATTTCTGCAAAAGCGTTATTTCATTTTCCTAACTGGTATAAGAGTCAAACCTGCAAATCCAGACACCCATTGCGCCATATCAGAAAAGGCATCATCCAATGAGTCTTCCCTCTCCTAAACATTATAAGAAAATGATGTTTATAAAAAAGTTTAGGACTTAGAATTTAAAAAGCTCATATATAGTTTAATAGATTAAGTCATGTTCTCATTAAGTCAAAAAGAAAGAAAAAACACCTTAGACTTCAAAAAGTTGGATGAGAAATCCTCATCACAAAGTGGAAGAACATCTGAATCCAAAACTTCATCATCAAAATGCAGCATTCGGCGTCTCTTTGCTTGGGAAGAAGCTTCCCTACAATACTCCACTCCTTTGTTTACAGTTCCTGTTTAAGCATATGTGTATCAGATACCAAGAATCATATCTATGGTTAAAAAGAAATACAGTATAAATCCACTTTAACACAAATCCATAATTACCATTTTCAGTAACTTGATAGGCTAAATCACCACAGGACTTCACTGGGGTTGTTTCATCAAACACATATGAAAGATCTTCATCATTCTCACTTACATTGTTCCAGAGTCCATTAGGTACATCTGCTTCAAATCCATTTTAACCAAATAAATATCAATTGTGTGCCCAACAATTTGATCTATAATACTAAGAAAATAGGATAAAAAATCACAAGTCTTGCTCTTACCTAGTTGCAAACCGTATTCTTCGCATTTCCAGTCCCACATTTCATCACTAGAATTCATATAAAACATTAAATTGTGTGAGATTTTTATTTGAAGAGTAGGAGAAGAAAAAATTAAGATTGAATACAATTTACAAGGTAGCATATCATGAACTGTTGGTAGAAAATTGAAGACTTCAAATAGCAATTAATAACTTGATGTATACATAGCATATGCACACATTTAGTGCTGGATCTATCATAAAGGCACATAAATCTGAATTTAAAGCACAAATATCATTCATTAAAAACTGCCCAAAATCATGATCTATCTATCACTAAACACATTTTAGTCACTTGAGTAGCAAACAAATTCTGTAAAAAACTCGACGGATCATGAATTAAATAACTGAAATTACTCCAACCGATTTGAAGTTGACCAAAATATCATCATTAACGCCGACTTTAATTAGAAAACACGATCTATCTTTATGAACATCTTATTCACCTCAATTGCATCTCAACGATTTTGAAACAACTACAAAGCTTGTATAAATCCAGCAAAAATTGAACCAAATCAACACGCGGAAACTAATCGGATGCGATGTAAAATTCAGAAAATGCAACAAATCAAGCAAACAGCATGTCCTAAAAATTCCCCAAAACACCACAAAATTAGAACAATCCACCTACATTTTCCTAAAACAACCTCAAATAAATCAGCAAAAAAAGGAGGATTAGCACGTACTTGTGATTCTTTTGGTGCTCCATTGAACGCAGACGAAATCAAACGCAAAACAAAATCACTACTACACAATTGGCAACCGAAATCAGATGCAAAACAAATCACTAAACTACTTCACGATCCTCGGGTACAAAGTTTACAGTCGGAACTAGCCGTTGGGATGGATTGATACAGAAGGAAAGGTACAAAACATATAAATTGGAAATGCGAAGAAGACGAACAGAAGTGGTGTCGAGATATGTGCAAAACCGCCGATTCCACGCACCATACACCCCTCTTTTTCTGAGTGTGTTTTTTTGTAGTGTGTGGGCTTCGGATTTGGGGGGCTATTTATTAGCATGATCTGAATGGGTAACCATGGGAGACCAGGTTCAGGCCTGACGACCCCTTTTCCCTTTTCTTTTTTTACTTTCTCTTTTTTCTTTAACGGGTAACTAAATATTTTTTAAATATAATTTATAACAGACCCCATAAATATGAAGTGTGATTTTTTTAATTGTATTTTCAGGAATAAAGAATACTTATAATTTACTTTTTTTTTTTTTTTTTTTTTTGTATTTTTAAATATTCGTTCCACTTTCATGAAGATTAAATGGTACATTGGTTTTTTAAGGGTTATGTATTAACCAATAAAGTTTAGCCAAAAAATATATATTTTAAAAGGTTCCTAAACTAGTTTATGTTATTTATAAGTGTATAAACCGAATAAAGTTATGTTATTTATATCATTTTCATGAAAATAAAAAGGTAAACCGTTTTCTTTGGCTGATGTGTACTTTTGACTTTGAAGAAGTCAAAGATATTTGAGTTAGAAAAAGGCAAAAATGACAATGCAATTTTAAGTGGTTACAGTATAATAGATGAAATGGGGAGGAAATCCACTTTTCCCGGTTACAAATTACCCCTTTAGGCCTACACTTAATCCATAGATACACCAATGACTTGATGTTGTCGATTGCTTTAGAAGGATTAGTGAAAATCCCTTGAAACAAACGATCATTTCTGCACTTCCATAAAGACCAGAGCATCCCATAGCAGATTACAATGAATCTCTCTTTTTTCTTTGGGCATTGTCCCCACGAGGCTACAAAACCAATTAGCTCGTCCGTGTTATGCACCGAAACTTGATCAATACCATACCAATTGAAGATCTTCTCCCTCACAAGACTCGAGTAAGGACAACATGCAAGATTATGGTCAACATTTTCTATCCCGTCAAGACATGAACCATAGTAACATGAGCTGATATGAACACATCTATGAGATAGAGCAATGGCAGAAGGAATGCGGTCGAGGGATGCTCTCCAAACAAAAGTGATTACCTTGATCGGGATTAGTTTATTCCATTTTATTTGTTGTTGGGAAGAGGTATAAAATTGACTCTTATCAATTTTCTTCCTCGGTACTTCAACCATGTATCTACCATCAGATGCAATTTTGCAGCATAACTGATATGGGCCTTGTTGGAGACGGAAAGGGGTGATGTCTTGATTTAATTGGTTCACCTCACTGGAAAGTCCAGCAACAATTGGACAAGATTTCCAAGACCCCGAGAAATCACTGTTATTGAAATGTGCACTCACCGTACATTTTTTTTATCTTTCAAGATCATACAACGAACGATACTTCCTTTTAATTTTCCCATAATCAAGGTTCTAAATGGCATGAGGTGTGACGTGGCGGCAAGGCCAAGTCTCAAGTTTAACGAGTCATGACGAGCCATGACGTGATGTAAGGCGGCGATTTTGTATTAATTTATAATTATATTACCATATAAATATAAATTTATATTAAATATAACTACTTTTTAGAAGTTTTATATCAATAACTAATAACAAAAAGTTAATAAAAAACACAATACTTGTATCCCCGATTAGAAAAGACATAACAAAGAGCAAAAAAAACGTCTCAAACCAAAAAACATGTGCCATAACACGTCATGGCACGCCATATCACGCCTTGCCACGCGTCATGCCTAACAGCAACGTTATGAGGCTTTTCGTAACAATGAAACCACACCTCACGCCATGGCGCGCCTTTTAGAACACTGCCCATAATCAAGCCATGTATCATGCCAAGATTGGGTTTTATCACATGATTTAACGATAATCTTGAAGATGTCATTTAAACATAGACCTAATGCCTTAATATTTTTTTCTTATCCCCTGCTATATTATTCTAAACACCAATAATGTTTTTTTTAGAAAGGTAATCCAAAGGTTTGTTGTGTAAATTATGGATACTTGTGATTACTCGACTGGATGGTTCCGATTTCAACCTCCACCACCATTTGACAATAAGAGAAATATTCAAAGCTCTAATATATCCAACTCCTAGACCTCCATTTTCCTTGGAAGCAACGACCTTTTTCCCACGAGACCCAGTGGATTTTGTTTTTGTCTTCATGTTCATCCCACATGAATTTTCTCTTATCTTCTCTAATTTTTGACGAGGTTCATATTAGCACCAACCGGGACACCTAAGTAGGTAAAAGGAAGGGATCCCACCCCACGCCCAAGAATGTTGGCCCATTGAGCTGTTTATGTGACAATCCGAAATTTTTATCTTGTACTCTTATTCAAATCAATGAAGGTCAGACTCGTTTTTGCTATCTTCTAGCACTGTTTAGAGTCAATTAGAGTGTTTAAAACTTAGTATAATCAGGGGATGAGTCGTGGGATGAGTATTGTGAGTGTAACACCTTGCAAATGAGCCAAACACACCAACACAAGGTGTGTGCGGCCGCACACCCGAGTGTGCGGCCACACACCCATCCCAACCGCACACTCTCCCCTATATATTCAACACTTAGTCATTTTTGAACACTTTTCCACTTCTTCAAGACTAGAACTCGAAATCCTCTCAAGTATCATCCAAATCTTCATCTTGATCTTCATAAAAGTAAGTAAGTCTTCCTTTTGATTTGTTGATGCACGACCCTAACTAGCAAAACCCTTTGCTTTGATCCATGAAAACATCCATTTTTAGCCAAGAACACCAAGAACACACACTAGTTTTGGACCTTAATCACCCTTTCAAGCCTCTATAACATGTATACACTTATCATAACTTATTATATGCTAAGAACACTTGATGATATACTAGAAAAACACTATTTTATCATCTTCATAAAGGGTGTGCGGCAGCACACATCATGGTGGCCGCACACACCCTTTTTAGGTCCAAAAATGATAATGAAATCCATATAAGGCTAAAGCTTGAAGTAAGAAACCTTCCTAGATGAGTCCTAAAGCCTTAAAATACGTTTTGGCACATTTCATAGGGAGTGTGCGGCGGCACACACACCCTGGCCGCACACCCTGGCCGCACACCCTGGCCGCACACACACAAATATTGTGCATTTTGACCATACACTCCCTTGTATAGCCATATACCCCTTATAACACAATCATATATGGTTGTAACACTTCAAAATAAGTGTTTACTAGTCCCTAAGGTGGTTCCAATTCAATAATTAGTTGTTATAAGCACTAATTGTATTCATATATGTATCATTATATGTTAAATAGGATCCACGTGTGTGCTCAAGTCTTCACTTGACACTTAGCATCCTATCCAGCACTTTCATCCAAACCACTCACTACAGGTGAGTTCATACCCCTTAATCAACCTTTTAATTGATTTTAAATGCTTTTATGGGGGGGGGGATACAAGTAGAACTATTATAGTTATTATATCAATCACATGTGATTAATAACTACCAAACAAGTGGATTTCTTACTTTTCAAACTGCGTTATCAAACAAACTACTTCAAACTGTTTTACAAACTCTTTTACATGTCAAATACTTTTATTAAACTCTTTTACATGTCAAATACTTTTATTAAACTCTTTTACATGTCAAATACTTTTATTAAACTCTTTTACATGTCAAATACTTTTATTAAACTCTTTTAAACTTATACATGATTCAACACATACTATACATTATACAAGAGAACATACTATTATGAGAAACAGAGAGAACATACATACATACTAGACAGAGAGAGAACATACAATACAACTAGGACATACTATACATTATACAAGAGAACATACTATTATGAGAAACAGAGAGAACATACATACTAGACAGAGAGAGAACATACAATACAGCTAGTACACACAATACATATACAAGAACACTACTACAGTTATGTGAGCCACGTAACGGGGCATGACATCAGCTGTCATGGCTCGTTTTGTATCCAGAATATCCTTAAGTGGAGAGCGTTGAGTTTGTGTATAGATCTATACTGGATTGACTATCCTACACCTTGCTGCTAGCTACAGTGGGACTTGCAAGTCTACGGGTGCCAAACGTCATTCCTTCCGACGTCTTTCATCATCGTGTTTCTAGTCAGTAGTATGGTACAGGCATATCACATGGTACCCTAAATAACAAATGGTTTAAGGTAGTTAGTACAGAAGTAGTTATTTAATACAGCACTACAGTACTATTTTTGGTTAATGATAGTCAGATTTGGGAAATTACATACTCTTACAAGAGACACACACACAAACACTTGATGCCTTGGTAGAAGGCTACTTTTAGTAGAAAAACATAGCGTTTTCTAGGAGATACAAACATTTACAAACTTACAAATCACATACTTACAAACACTTCATACAAACAATGACACTAAAATACTTATGATCTCACCAGCTTTAAAGCTGATAAACTCTTTCAAAATAACTTGTATTCTCAGGTCACCAGTAGACAGGTACCGATGCCAGGTTTTGAGAAGATGGAGCTCGTTCAAGACTCATCTTTTATGTTTGATTTCTATTTTTGGTGTCTATTAAACTTGACAGAACACACTTGTATTAAATTATATTATTAATGCAATGGATGATATTGTTGCTTGTTTACTACTATGCATTGTTGTGATACTGTACATGACGTCCTCCACCCCCGAACGATTCCGCCGTTCCGGTTTTGGGGTGTGACAGATTGGTATCAGAGCATTGTTTATAGTGAATCGAGTATATCAACCCATAAAAGATATACGAACTATAAACACAGCAGGATTTAAAAATACTCTGATAAAGAGTTTATACTTTTAAATAATAAAATATTTAACCAAGTATACATACCTGCATTCATACTAAAATCAGTGTCACTAGGATAGAACAAAAGTATTACTATTGTTGGGCAGCACAAGTAGACTTAGAGACATATAGTCAAATCTGGGAAGATATAGCCTGATGAACTATATTATCCGAGGATTGACTAGCATGTGCCTAAGTGTGGTTGTGAGGTTGCAACAAGTCTAAAAACTTACCAACAATACCACAACGAAAACCTTAGAACAGAAC